TGGTAACTTAGGTCCAAAAGGCAATAAATGTATCTTTATAAGACATTCAGAACACTCCAAAGGGTATGTGGTGAATTAGAGGATGGAAGTGTTACTGAGATTAAATCGCGAGATGTCACATTTTTGGAAAATGATTTTCCAAAGAAGGGCGAGGTAAAAAATGAAGAGAATCTCTATGAAATGTTGAACTCAGACAGTAAGCAAGTGTCTTCTGACACAGTTAATAATCAAATTGATCAAGATTTATTCTTGATCCGAGTGGGTGTGGGAACTCTCAATCCCAAAATCCTTCTGACCAACCTGAATTTCAACTACGAAAGAGTGCCAGGAAAAATATACCCAAACATACTTATGACATTGAAGATTATGTTTCTTGGTATCTCCCACAGAAATGGATGAGCCAAAGTCTGTGATTGAGGCTTTATCGAGCCCTGGAATAGATGAGTGGATGAAAGCAATGAAAGAAGAATTAGAGTCCATGAAAACCAACAAAGTCTAGGATCTAGTTGACCTTCCGCCTGGGCGTAGAGCCATTGGGAACAAATGGGTTCTCAAAGTTAAAAGCAAAGCGGATGGGTCAATAGAAAGATACAAGGCACGATTGGTGGCCAAAGGCTTTACTCAAGAAGCCGGAATAGATTATGAGGAAACATTTTCACCAATTGTGAAGTTTACCTCAATTCACTTACTTTTGGCTGTTGTTGCACGTTTGGATTTTGGAATTACATCAAATGGACATGAAGGCAGCTTTTCTCAATGAAGAACTAAATGAAGAAATCTACATGGAACAACCGTAGGCTTCATCGTCAAAGGCCAAGAAAAGAAGGTCTGTAAATTGAAAAGATCTATTTATGGCCTGAAGCAATCTTCAAGGCAATGGTATTTGAGATTTCACAAGGAGGTGATCTCATATGATTTCAACATGATCAATGAAGACCATTGCATTTATGTGAAGAAGTCCAATGGGATGTTTGTAATTCTTTCTCTTTATGTGGATAGTATTTTATTGGCCGAAAATAATTTGGAGTATTTGAAAACTATCAAGTCGTGGCTTTTAAAGTCATTTGACATGAAAGATATGGGCGAGGCGGACTATATCGTTGGAGTTAAGATCTAAAGAGATCGTTCCAAAAAGTTATTGAGTCTATCTTAAGAAACTTATATAAAGAAAATTTTGGAGCGTTTTCACATCAATAGTTGCAAATCCATGGATACTCCTATAGCGAGAATGAAACTCTAAGCCTTGAATTGTGTCCCAAGACTGAAAATGAAAAGGAAGACATGTCTCGAGTTCCATATTCAAGTGATGTCGGGAGCTTGATCTACGCTATGATGTGTACTCGCCCAGACATTTATTATGCCGTAGGTCCGGTTAGCAGGTATCAATCCAATCCTGGAAGAGATCATTGGAAAGCTGTGAAGAGAATTTTTAGATACCTGAAGGGAACTGCAGATTATTCACTATGTTATAGTGGAGAAGATTTTATACTTGAGAGGATATACAGATGTTGATTGGGCTGGTGATCGGAATGATAGAAAATCAACATTCGGTTATGCCTTCTTACTTAATGGTAGTGCTATGTCATGGAAAAGTAAGAAACAAACCTGTACAACCCTTTCAACAATGGAAGCTGAGTTCGTGGCTTGTGCGTCTGCAGTACAAGAAGCTGTTTGGTTGAAGAGATTCTTTGAGTATTTGGATATTACAAAGAACTCTCAGGGTCCCATGACTCTATATTGTGATAGTCAAGCGGCTATTGCATATAGAAAAGATCCTAAGTATCACAACAAGACCAAACACATTGACATCAAGTATAACTTTGTAAAAGACATGGTAGCAAGTGGAGAGATAAATTTACAGTACATTCCTACGCGAAGCATCATAGCTGACCTTTTACAAAGGTGATATCTAGAGACCTGTTTGAGAAACATGTTATGGCTCTAGGTTTGCCAATGATATGAACATATTTATGTATTGTAAAATAAATTTAGTATTATAATATGCTCATCAATATTTGACTCTTGAATTATGCTTATATCTCGTATGTATGTGATGAATGTTTTTGTTGATAAAGTGTATGGAACAAGTCGCGAGATTGGCTCTCTCACACGAGCAATCTCCTCTTACGTTAAGAATCGTGAAGAGATGAGACCTTATAGAACCTTGGATAATGCGGGGTTATATTTACTTGTAGAGGTCGTTCTTGACAACTTACGAATTTCACCATTCGATTATGACTTGTTTTGTTAGCTAGATGCGAATTTCTCTAAGAAGATGTTTTGAGGATTATTGAAGTGAGAAACTCGGGTTAGACGCTTGAAGGTGTCTAGACCAAGATCTCTACGGTATTGAATGATTAAAAGAATAAGAAACATGCGCCAATATAAGGTGAGAACACCGTAACATGTGTTTCATACCACGTGTGCTAGTGACCAATGGGATAATAGAAGAATGGATCCCTGCTTCTTCATTGTGTGAGATCCCGAAAAGTTATATTAACTTTTATTGAAATACCCTTTGACCTTTTACTGTATCTTGAAGTGCCAATCGATGTTGCTACTTTAGCATATCACTAATAGCCATGAGTGATTCGGCAATGCAATGCATGTCTAGGAAAGCAGTTGATCTTGAATGAATAGATTCGAGTGGAAAGGGAAGACAACTAAAATTAGTAACAGCTTGTATTTACAGGTCGACCATTACACTTACCATGAAGGTATTAAGTGTAATTGTGGGTACAATGTTATATTTAAACTCGAGTTCACCTCTTCGAGGATGAGGGATCAAATAACTACTACTGGAGTAGCGAATGACGTCTGGGGTATTGCGAGTAATAAGATCCTCATGTTGGTAATGCATCCTTTCCATATGTGATTGGATTTCTACATGGAGCTTTAGTACAACTTTAATGAGTTTGAATTACTATAGCTCTTAATGCTCGCAAGTCGCATGAACTATTTGTCTGTATGAATTAAGTGTGTTATTGACATAAAATTGGTCCGGGTATAGCCCACCATGAGCGAAGTGGGAGATGTTGGATATTGAGTTTGAATCTCAGGTCGCTCCATGTGGGATGACCCGACCCATCTAAAAGAGATAAAGTAAAAAAAGTTACTCAAAAAAAACTACCATACACAGTTAAATAGTGATGGGGTTAATCAGTTTTTGAATGTCGGTTAACTTCTCTTTTATATGTATCACGTAAGTTCCCTTTTTCTCAATAAGATAGAGAAAAAGAGAAAAAAACTTCCTTCTGCTTCCAAAACAACCACACAAGGATAAAAGACACTTAGTTCGTGAAGTTCTAACTTTGTTTCCAAGAGATTTAAAGTTCGACTTGGGGTAATTCTTTTGGTGGTGAGTTCAACGATCTCCGCTGCAACAAAAAGGTACACAACTTGTTGTTCTCACCCCTCGTTATTGTCTTACAGCATCTGACCTTAATTATTATCTAGTCCACCAATAATAAAGACATCTCAAATTACACTTTGCCACCTTTTAACTTGCCATAATCTTCCTCTCGAAACGCACTTCTAACCAAAACAATTGAAGTACTGTTTTAGATCGATTTCATGTACTTAATTCTGAGGAGCTCACTTGAACTTTCTTTTCAGAAAATAGGAAAATAAATTATTGAACTATTTTTTGGAGTGCAACTAATTATTAGTTTCGAGTTTCCATTCACTATTAATTTGCTTTGAAAACTTCATATCTAATCATTTACGTAAACAAAAAAGAAAAAGTTGAAAATGATTTAAAGATTGAATGTTGCTTATGAAGACAAAAGGCTGCAACGTAACCACCAAAAGCATATAGCTAGCTTTCGTGAAAAGAAGAAAATGGATGGAGATGGAGTACGTATGCATTTATTTTTACTCGTTAAAGAACGTAACTGATACCGTTATTGAATACTTAAGTAGCTTCTTTATCAGTCTATATATTCTTAGTTTGATAAATAAGTCCGAGTATAGATTTTGTCTTTGACCATAATAAACGACTTTAATTTTCTTAAATAGCTTTTACGCTATCAGATGGCCAACAAGATTATTATTATAGATAATTGGCATTGTCCATAATGAGTAAATTAGTAACTTGAAGATAAAAGCAAACAACTTGTTACAAAATATAGTATTAAATATATTAATAAACCAATTATTACGGTCAAACCTCTCTATAACAATCTCGTCGTTTCGAATATTTTTGGATGTTATAGCGAAGTACTGTTATAGAGAACACATATTATAACATACCATAAAAATTAGTTCCGGAAAAGCTTAGCTTTTATAGTGAGATGTTGCTGTTATATACAGAGAGATCTGACTGTATTACTACGCCGCAGTCCCAAACACATTTCCTTTAGACCGCTATATTTTTGTTCTCATTGAGCCGTGGGGGTCTATCGAAGACAACATCTCTACTTGCATAAGGTAGCGGTAAAGTCTGTGTACACACTATTCTCTCCAGACCCTACTTCTGAGATTACATTGGCTATATTGTTGTTGTTAATAATCACAAACACATGTTGATTGACAACTTGAACTAAAATTGTACTAAAATTTCAAGCACTGTTCTTGTATATATTGTATTCATTTGTTTCCTTTGCTTGGTAGTTGAGAAGTCTACTTCTTCCAACTTCAAAATCCCTTGTAACTTAACCTTCAAACCGCAGTATCTCTATATCCATGTCTTCACCAGCTAGCCATTAGAGTACTGGCCAGGCTAGCGTATATACATATATAATATCTACGACCCCCCACCCAGGGGCGAAGCTACCTTTTACAAAGGGTGGTCAGTTAGCTACTTTTACAAAGGGTAGTCAACTGACCACCCTTCGTCGAAATGTTACGAAAAATTACACTGTATATATATAAGTAAAATATTGATTTTAGATATTTTTTAGTTCTTTCAAGTCTGAACACCCTTGAAAACATTTCTGGCTTCGCCACTACCCCACCCCGCACCATACACACTAGACCAATCCTCATTTCAATCTCTCTTCTGAATATTTGAAGTAAAAGCAAAGAAAACTCTCATCAAACCAACCTTATAGCAATCATGATCTAATAATATTTGTCTCATATTTCTCCTTCCATTTTCACCTCACAGAAAAGAAAAAAACACCAATATGGAAACACCAAAAAAAGAAGCTATGGATTTTCATTCAAACGTTGATTCTTCACGGCCTTTTCGTTCAGTCAAAGAAGCTGTAGCCATCTTTGGCGAGCGATTCTTGGCTAAAGAAATTTATTCTCCAAAACCTTTCACGTTTCCAACTCAAGAAAGTCCGTGGAATAATAATAATCATAATAATTTTTCTCCAAGTCCTCGAAGTGTTAATTATTCTCAAGAAATTGTTACTACCGCCACGTCATGGAAATCTGCTTCATCACCAAGTCCTCAAGATTTCAACAATGATCCTGTTGTTGTGGAAGCACTGAAGAAACTTGAAACTGAGCTAGAAGAAACAAAGACAGAATTGAAGCTTTTGAAAGCAAGAGAATCTGAGACTGAAATTGCGTTAGCTTCTTTAAACGCTGAGCTTCATAAGAACATGTCGAAACTAGCACAAGCTGAAGCAGCTCATGCAGGTTAGAGGCGAATTCTTGATTTTATCTTAATTTATTTTAATTTAAAGTTTTGAGTTTTCTGAAAATATGAGATCATTACGAGAGTATGACTAGAACATCTTGTCGGCAGTGGAGGAGAGAGTATGACTAGAACATCTTGTCGGCAGTGGAGGAGTCAGAATTTCCGCTAAGAGGGTTAAAAAAAAAGTTAAATTATTAATAAAAATTGTGGCCAATGGGATTGAGCCAGTAACCTCACAAAGATTTTGAACCGCATTAACAACTAAACTATGCTTTTGGATTGCGTTGTCAAGGGGTATTTTTACCTTATATATGCAATGTAATTTTCTCCCCTAAATCCACCCCTGCATTGTTGGTAAGAAAGTCATATTTTTGTTTGGTTACTAGAAAATGTTCTTCCCTTACTTATGACGGGAGTCATTTTTTCTTAATTATTTTGACTTTTAACTTCGTATTAATTGCTCCAATACTTTTAGCGGATGTTATTCCGTAAACTTTTTACTTCATATTAGTTGCTCCAATGTATTTAATTTCATCAAAATGTTATATATTCGAGTTATAAATATTACTATTACTCATAATTAATGTTTAAATATTACTATTACTCACAATTAATATTTAGTATATATTTTCCAAAAATTGTTTTTCACACCATCTCCATCTCTTTTTCCTTGAAGAAAGGTGAGGACGGATAAAATCGATAAAATGGAAAATATCCAAATGAATGGAAAGGACAAATTAAAGTATAAATTTCACTATTATATAATATGACTTGATAGAGACATGCTAATACTAATAGTCCAATTTATCACTATGAGAATTTTTTATGTTAAACACTAAAAACATTGTTCAAAAAATAGAAAATATTTATAAGAAAACAACTTTTATGAAAATGACTTGTATCAGTACTAAACACATACATATATTTATACTTTTTTTTTTTTTTTTTGTGGCACTCGCTATTTGCACTAAATTTTAAGATTTATCACATATATACTTTTATTATCTAGATTAAAAAGTGTGAGTTCAATTGACTACATCCCTACTAATGCAGGTGCAATGGCAGCGTCAAGATCAGTGAAAATTAACAATGAAGATTATTACGGTAAAGGGGAGGATAATAAGCTGAAAAAGGAAATGAGAGTGAGATGGGAGTCATCACCAACTTTAGCAGAAATGTTAACAATTGGAGATACAGATATTGGGTTTTTTGGATCATCTGGGAAGAAAAAGGACAAGAAGAAAACGATGAAGAAGAAGCCGATCATTCCTCTTGTGGGAGACTTATTCTCAAGGAAGAAAAAAACTCCAACTACTATGGATAATCCACTCTTTTCTTCTTCTCATCTCTTCTGAATTGAAAAAAAGACAAGAAAACAGAATAAGAACTTCATCATTTAACTAACTTAATATTTTTTTTCTATGTTCTTTCTGCTGAAATTCAACTGTTTGTGGGTGTCGAACATCATGAGAAAACACCATCTCTTTAATTCGTGTGTATGTGTGATAATGCTAGTCTTTTTCTTTTCCTTTTTTTTTGCCTCTCCAAATTTTCATGTATATTTCAATGTTCAATATTTCTGGGTCAATGATTTTACTTACCTTATTCTGGTATTATTAGTATTAATTACTACTTCATTATCTTTTGCATTCTTGGTTTTGATATACTATGTATATTTTAAATTCATAGATAATCATAATTAATAAGAAGGATTAAAGAGTTTTGTATGGGTCAGAGTCTGACTGAGGGAACCTGGCACAAGGATAAGTTACTAAGAGGCAATTAGGCCGAGGTCGTACACAAGATTAAATAAACTTACTGGCGAGTTGTTAATCAGGGCAGAGGTTGAATGTTCAAGTCTGCAAATAACGGCTAGTTCTGTAATAAGATATTTAGGAGAATATTCCATTGGATATTCTCTATACCTGTACTTTAGGTTAGGTTGGAGGCATGTCTCAAATAAATAGAAAGGTAGAAAGAAGGAACGCGACATGTAATATTCTATATGATAAGAACTCTCTTGAAAAGTTGACTCTCAAGAATAATACAAACATTATCTTTCTAAAGAGATTCGATTTGTTGTTTATTCCACATTTCTCGCATCAGATTCGAGAAAGCTTCCTTTATTCCCATATTCATTTGTCTTACATTATTGTCAGAAAGAGGAATCATTCACCTCATTCAATATTGGGCGAATCATTCTCTCTATTTACATTTTGTGCCATTTAACATATTTGTTGCTTATCATATTCTCTCTCATTTAAGATCGTATCGTTTAATGTATATCGCATTAAATCTGTTTTAACTAACACCCACACTATCCTCGTAAACACATTTTTAGATCTAGACTTATTATTTTTAACTAGGATTTACCTGTTATCTACTTATATAATATTGGTTTAACCAAAGGTTCCATTCTTTTTGGTCAAACAATTTGGCGCCGTCTGTGGAAATTTTCTAGTTAAAATTGTAGTTTCTTCTAGTTCTAAAAAAATTCAAAAATCCTACACTTGTGTACATAAATCTAACATGACAAGCAACAGAGAGGAAAAGAGGAAAGCAATAGCCGACCTCACCACCAACATCCTTCACACCATCAACAAAGCCAACGAAACGAAGGGTGAAGACACAACACCAAATACCTCTCCTAGGCGAAATAGCTCGCCCCCTCCTCACGGCAACATCACAACCTCACACGGTAAAGGGGCTTCTATGTCCACAACGGAAGAGGCACCACTAGTAGTGAAAAAGCTGCTCGCGGCGTAGTTGACAAACACGTTGACCAGCATTCTCGACAAGCCAGCTCAAAGGCCTAACCGAGAAGATGCAAGAGAGTTGGCGTTGCATCAGCGACAGATGAGTAACACCCCTACCCCCTACCCCCCCCCCCCTAACAGGTATTACTCAAAATGTTAGTGATGTAACGACACCTTCACAACCACTCTGAGGAAAATGGAGGAGATGGAGAACGAGAACAAAATTCTCCGTGATCAAATGAAAGAACATCAAGAAAGAGTAGACAAAATAGCGGGTGCACCAAAACTCCTAACCAAAAGGGACGCCCGATCGGTTTGTTGAGCAACCATACAGCGACGAAGCTGCAAGCCCACACACGCAATACCCAAAACCTTCAAAATGTCGTCGTACCTGAAAATATACGACGGCACAATGAATCCTGAAGATCATGTGACCCACTATGTCACCGTAGTAAAAGGCAACGACCTCGCGAAAGAGCAAGTATCCTCCATCTTACTAAAGAAGTTCGGCAAAACCCTCACCGGGGGTGCATTGACTTGGTATTCACAGCAGCCCGCACGCTCGATTGAAATATTTGAAGAGATGGCCGACAAGTTCGTGATGGCCCATGATGGAGCGAAAAAGGCAGAGGCACGAGTAAATGACATATTTGCCATCAAACAATCACCCGGAGAGGGACTCAGGGATTTCCTCACTTGATTTAACCGAGTAAGGATGACCTTAAAAAATGTATCAGAAGGAATGGCTGTGGCAGCCTTCCAAAACGAGCTAAATAGGAGCGGTTCGAGGGCGACTAGAAAGCTACTGAGCTGACTCATGAAGTATCCCCCAACCAGTTGGGACGAAATACACAATTTTTATTACGCCGAAGTTCGAGCTGACGAAGATGGCCTAAATGGGCCGACCCAACGGCTAACTTCGGTGCAAGTCGAGTCCAGAAAGGACCGGAGGAACGACAACAAGAGAGATCTAGCAGGACCCCGACCTAATCGAGAAAGACACCAGCCTTACGTTAGAGGCACCCACATACCGCCTCCCCGTCATGACGAAGGCCCATCTCGGCCACGAACAGGAACTCACCGAAATGAGAGAGGTATGCCCCCTTATTATCTGCTCACAATTTCTGTGTTTCCCCCTCAGAAATAGTCTACGCGTTGGAGAAACTCGACCCAAAAGTGAAGTGGCCGCAGAAGATGAGGTCTGACCCGAGCACCAGAAAGTCAAATGCCCTCTGCGAATTCCACCAGGAGCGGGGTCACAAAACTGTGGACTGTATCGCCCTGAGACAAGAGGTCGTGAACATGCTTCACCAAGGGAACTTGAAAGAACTGATGAGCGACCGAGGGAGAGCCAACTTTTCCCGGGGACGTAAACAGCACCAAGGACCACCCAAACCACCTTCCCCAGCTCGAACTATTCAAATGATCATTGGAGGGAGCGACGGCGCTTCAATCAGCAGCGTAAAGTTCACCACCACCCACAAACTAAAATGGTGGATCACTCATGAACGGTACGCCAAACTCGAAGAAAGTATCATCTTCGATAAGTTGGATACGTACGATTTGGTTTTTCCTCACTATAACGCCCTATCCATTACTTCACGCATCTTAGATACTGATGTAAAACGTATTATGATTAATGATGAGAGCGGCGCGTGCATCATCCACCCTTGAGTCCACGCACAAATGAAGCTCGAGGATAGGATAGTGCCACGTTGTATCACACTGACGGGTTTTAACAATGCAGTTGAGCGGACATCTGGAGAAATCACGCTGCCTGTCTTGGCCGGTGCTGTCACTTTGGAGACCACGTTCCACATCATGTACCAAGATACGACGTACAACGCTATCATAGGTAGACCTTGGATACACGCCATGAAAGCAGTCCCCTCCAGTTTATATCAAGTCATCAAATTTCCCACCCCCTGGGGGTATTTAGCATCTGAGGAGAACAATGCACTGCCTGGGAATGCTACCGCATCAACGGGGTCGAGGTCGAGCAAGGACGAGAAGGATGTGATCAAAGATCCTGAAGTCGTCGAAGCTACAGGATCTACCGTAGAAGTCCTCGACCGTATCCAACTCGATGATAACAACCACGGCAAGAAAGCTTTCATCGTCTATAAGCTCCAAGAACCAGGTAAATTCCATAAATTTTTAAAAAATAACGTAGACCTTCCTATGCAGACATGCCAGGTATCCCAAAAGAGATAGCAACACACAAGCTGAATGTCGACCCATTCTGCCCCCTCCCCCCGATTAGACAAATTAGGCAGAAATTTAATGCTTCCATAAATGACGCAGTCCGCGAAGAGGTAGAGAAGTTGTTGGAAAATGGCTCCATTAGGGAGTCAAGATATCCTCAATGGGTCGCCAATGTAGACATGGTGAAAAACAAGAACGAAAAGTGGCGGATGTGCGTGGACTTCACAAACCTAAACAAAGCATGTCCAAAATATTTGTTTCCACTTCCTCATATCGACCAACTCATTGACGCAACGGCCGGGCACGACCTTCTCAATTTCCTAGACATATACTCGGGCTATAATCAGATCCTCATGGAAGAGAAAGACCCGGAGAAGACCACTTTCATCACTCATCAGGGAATGTACTGCTACAGATTAATCCCCTTTGGACTGAAAAATTCAAGGGCGACATAGTAAAGGTTTTGGTGACAAAAATGTTCAAAGACTAGCTCTTTAAAACCATGAAAGTCTACATCGATGACATGTTGGTCAAGTCGAAAAAGAAGGAGGTTCACATCGAACACTTAAAAGAGGCCTTCGACATACTCAGACGATATGGTATGAAATTGAACCCCTAGAAGTGTGCATTCGGAGTAACCTCAGGAAAGTTCCTTGGCTTCTTAGAATCACAACGAGGCATCGAGGTCAACCCCGACCAAATCAAAGCTATAGAAGGAATATCGGAGAACCTAACTAGTAAGAAACAAGTGCAAAAGCTAACCGATCGCATAACCACCCTGCTGAGGTTCATCTCACAATCCTCCGATAGACGTCATAAATTTTTCGACGTACTCAAGAAAGACAATGGACTCCAATGGAACTCCGAGTGCGTCGAAGCGTTGAAAGAATTAAAAGCTTACTTATCTTCTCCTCCACTACTAGCCAAGGCAGAAGCGGGTGAGCGCCTCCTCGTCTATCTGCCAGTGTCTTACTTGGCCGTGAGTGCAATCCCATTCCGAGAAAATAAAGGTACTCAATCTCCCATTTATTATATTAGTAAAACCCCGGTTGACGCCGAGACGAGGTATCCATACCTCGAGAAGCTAGCCTTGGTTTTGGTCGTAGCTTCACGAATGCTTAGACCCTATTTTCAGTGCCATCCCATCTCGGTAGTAACGACCTTTCCCCTGAGGAATATTCTTTACAAGGCCGAGCTATTAGGCAGATTGGCCAAATGGGCCATACAATTGAGCGAGCACGATATAACCTATTTGTCGCAAACGGTGATAAAGTCGCAAGTACTTGCCGATTTCGTCACCGACTTTAGCACAAAAATAATACCCGAATTCGAAAAAGAAGCCGCTTATACTTCTCCCAAAATACACGACCTATGGGTGTTATATACAGATGGCGCCTCTAACGCGTCGGGATCGGGACTTGGACTCTTGCTCGAGGTCCCAACAGGCAAAGTAATTCGCCAGTCCATAAGATGCCCAGATATGACTAACAACGAGGCCGAGTGCGAGGCCTTGATTGCAGGTTTAAAGCTAGCACTCAAGTACGGAGCAAAGCGAGTCATCCTACGGGGCGACTCTCAGCTCGTCGTCCATCAAGTCACAGGGACTTTCCAAATCAAGGAACAAAGACTACAAAAATACCATGCTGAGATCTGCAAGCTGTTACCCGAGTTCGATGAATGCTAACTCGACCAAATCCCTCGAGCACAAAATATCGAAGCAGACGGCCTTGCCGAATTGGCAGCAGCTACTAAAATCCTAATAGGAGAAGGGAACGTGGTCACTCTCCTCTACTCATCGATCGATCAAATTGAGGTACGAACCATAAACTTAACTTGGTACTGGCGCAATCGTATTGTCACATATTTTTGCAGGACGGAATGCTTCCAGGCGACAAAAAAAAGCCAAAAAGCTTTAAATGCAGGCGGCCAGGTACAACGTCATCAATAACGACTTGTACAAAAGAACATATGGCAGCCCCCTAGAGAAATGCTTAGGCCCAAACCAGACGCGGCGCGTCCTCGAGGAAGTTCACGAAGGTCACTGCGAAGCTCATACCGGCAATCGAGCTCTCGTCATGCCTCATACGAGCATGGTACTACTGGCCCACAATGAAGAAAAAAAAAGGCCATCGACTTCGTAAAAAAATGCAAGCAGTGACAAAAATACGCCCCCATGATTCCCCAAGTGGGCGAACACCTCTACTCAGTCACCTCGCCCTATCCTTTCATCAAATAGGGAATGGACATCGTCGGACCCCTCCCAACGAGACAAGGTAATGTACGATTTCTTTTGGTTTTAACTGACTATTTTTCCAAGTGGGTAGAAGCAGGTGCATTCGCCCAAATACGTGAGCAAGAAGTGATCACTTTTATATGGAGGAATATCATTTGCCATTTCGGCCTCCCCAAAGAAATCAGTTGTGACAACGGGCCTCAATTCACTGGAAAAAAGATTATTGAGTTCTTCGAGAAATGGAATATCAAAAGAATACTCTCCATGCCATATCATCCCCCGGGCAATGGGCAAGCAGAATCCTCCAACAAGTCAATACTGAATATCATGAAAAAGAAGCTCGAAAACGCCAAGGGATTGTGGCCGGAGTTGCTGCCGAAAGTGCTATGGGCATATCGCACAACGCCAAAAACAAGCACAGGAGAAACATCGTACTCACTGGTCTATGGGACCAATGCCGTAATACCGGTCAAGGTCAAAGAGCCAAGTCTAAGGTAATCGCACAAGAGCGGGCCGAGAAACGATAAAAGTAGGAGTCAAGACCTCCACGAGGCCGAAGAACGAAGAGATATGGCTTACATAAGAATGGTCACTCAGAAACAACAGGAAGAGCGATACTACAACAAAAAGGCCAAGATCATACCGCTCAAAGTCGGAGACTATGTACTCAAAGCCAAAACATAGGCAAGCAAGGACCCACGAGAAGGAAAGCTAGGAACTAATTAGGATGGCCCATATAAAATCACGATGGCGGCAAGCAAAGGGTCATTCCAACTAGAAACAATGGAGGGGAAACTATTACCAAACAACTGGAACATCGCCCACCTCAAGTACTTCAACTTCTAAGGAAAGACGTTCTCCGAGCCGTACCCTTTTTCTCTCACCCGAGTTTTGTCCCAATTGGATTTTCTCGAGGAGGTTTTTAATGAGGCAACAAGGAGGACATTTCGAAGTTTAAGGCTCGAAAAGAGAGAGTACAAGTTGGCAAGTTCATTGCTCGACCCCTCGAATACTTCTCCGGGCCGAACAATAAAGGGACTAGATAGACTAGGACTGGAATACCCGCCCTAAAAACGTGTAAACTTCTCCAATGTATGTTTGTAAGTAAAGCATACAAACATATGATATTCGCCTATGTCTCCACCAAGTTTTAACTCCGCACCAATCAATGCACCCACATTAGACCTTGTTCGAATCAACTACGAGTCAGCATTCGACCTCGCTCGAATCGACTCACATTCGACCTCATTCGAATCAACTATGAGTCAACATTCGACCTCGCTCGAATTGACTCACATTCGACCTCGATCAAATCAACCACGAGTCAACATTCAACCTCGCTCGAATCGACTCACATTCGACCTCGTTCAAATCAACTACGAGTCAACATTCGACCTCGCTCAAATCAACTCACATTCGACCTCGTTCGAATCAACTACGAGTCAACATTCGACCTCGCTCGAATTGACTCACATTCGATATCGTTCGAATCAACTACTAGTCAACATTCGACCTCGCTCGAATCGACTCACATTCGACCTCGTTCGAATCAATTACGAGTCAATATTCGACCTCTCTCAAATCGACTCATATTTGACCTCGCTCGAATCGACTCACATTCGACCTCGTTCGAATCAACATTAGACCTCTGATGCGTGGCTATAATTCCATAGTTTCGTGCATTATTTGCCTTGCATTTTTATATGCTTTAATGATAAATTACACTTTATTTGCGCGTAATGGAGTTTATTTTATGTGTAGGTGAATTGGAGATGAAAGTAGAGCAAAAGGGATGCATAAACGTTGAAAGTGTGCTCGAGAACAGTGAAAAGGAGAGGCGAAGCAAAAGCCAGCTCAACCAGGCTTTAGCCTGGCGAGGCCAGCCAAAAGCCAGGCTGAACCAGGCTCGCCATTGCCGGGGAACTAACGGTGTAGCTATAGGTATACATGTTACTAGGTTTCAAGTTTGAACTTTTATTTTATTTTATTTTATTTTTGTATTTTATTTTTTTTAATTTTTTTGTTTTACTTGCTGATTTGAGAACATGGTATCTTGGAATTATGAGAGTTTTGATATTGGTAATTCTACTTTTGATCCTCCTTATGCATGCTGCAGAGGAAACTACCCATTACAAAATTATCAAAATATTTTCGAGAGCGAGTTATGTGCACCAACTCAATCTTATGTGTGAAATATGTGTGATATGTGTGGTGGTCAAAATGGTCACTTTATTAG